AGTAGTAGTAGTAGTAGCAGTAGCAGCAGCAGCAGCAGGAGTAGGAGTAGGAGTAGTACTAGTAGTACTAGTAGTACTAGTAGTACTAGTAGTACTAGTAGTACTAGTAGTACTAGTAGTAGTAGTAGTAGTAGTAGTAGTAGTAGTAGTAGTAGCAGTAGCAGCAGCAGCAGCAGCAGGAGTAGGAGTAGGAGTCGTACTAGTAGTAGTCGTCGTCGTAGTAGTAGTAGTAGCAGCAGCAGAAGAAGAAGTAGTAGTAGTAGGAGTAGGAGTAGGAGTAGCAGTAGCAGTAGCAGTAAGGAGCGGTAGTCGTGGTCGTGGTCGTTGTCGTGGTCGTGGTCGTGGTAGTAGTAGTGGTAAGGGTAGTGGTAAAGGTAGCGGTAGTGGTAGTGCGATAACCCTTATTCCCTTACGCGTTCCCCCGTGCGCAGCCGGGGTCGGCGGATACATACATACAATATTCCCATAGTTTCCAAATATTTTACCAAACATTGCAGGACTCACCACCGAGTCCTGCGGCTTTGCCTAAGGACTGAGCGGCAAGGACAGCGCCATCAACAAAGTCAGTGTTTTCTTCGCGGGAGTCCTCGGATCCATCGCGTGGCTCGACGAGATTTGGGCGTACAGAATTATATATGGTGTACAATATTTACAAAATTATTGGTTTACATAATCTAAAAATTAATAACTTTAGGGGTTCTGAAGTTTTTTACTTGGGGTCTATAATAACTTCTAAGCGTGGTGTGAACAATGAATATACATGATTAAAGATGTTGAATTCAACTGAGTTCATATTACGTTTCCCTCCAATTCGGGGATCGGGGATGCCACGAGTTGGCAAAAACGATCGGTTGACTACCTTGACCTGGGATGAATGGAGTTCTTTGGGTGAAAGAAATGGCGGATCCTGGGTTGTATGGGTTACTATGGTTTACCGTGGTTTATTTCGGTTAATTAACTATGGTTTATCTTGACTAACTTTGGTTAACTATAGTTACTTTCATAACTACAATTTATGGAAAATATAAGGTTTACCAGTGTCGATAGTCGATGGTGATTAAAACCTGCACCAAATAGGCAAATATATATGACAATCCCATTCTTGACATTGTTTCATAAGAGCATCGCAATTTCCCAACTGGTGCCGGATTTTGTACATCCACAGTATGATAGGGAAACATGTTGCCAATTGACGACTAGGCACCAGGAAGACCTTCTCTGAAGGTGACAAGATATTTCATGAGTACGAACTATGACCTTTCCAAATAAAACCAGGAATACCATTAACACATAACTTAACGCATATATATTTTTTGATAATCAACACAAACGCAACTTCCATAAAATCCAGGTCCTATATCAGTGCACATTAGAATCTGATCCCCACGCCCCACTCGCCACGAGGAATTTGTGTTTGATGGCCACCTACTATGGCACCTGCATTCGCACGTTGCAACGTGCGGAGATCTTCTTGCAACCCATGCTGGGGCCAGGCAAATCGGTGAACCTCTCTGGGAAAGGGCTACCGGGTGGGGAGTAAGATTCAAATTATGGAGGTTGATATGGGCCAAACTTCAAAGATGGAGATTCAGGAAGAATCGATTTTAGTAGCAGTTTGTGCGTCGGTTTCGGGTGTGTACCTCACTTTGAAATCTGCCCATATAGAGATACGTGTACAGGTGAAAAAAAAAACCAATGGACCCTCCAAACGGTCGTTGTCACCATGAAACCGTCCATTTTGAGGGATCAATCAACGTGACCCGTGCCTATCATACAGGTTGATGTAGTACTGTACGGGGGTAATACATTTCCGGTAGGGGGTAGAAACAAGCTCCTGCAATCATGGCATTACCCAGTAATAATGGTGGTATTTCACAAACGCCAGACCAATCGTAGTGGGATGATCAGCTTAAGCGTGGAAAATGGAGACATTCACCATCAAGATATCCATTTACGGATGATGTTCCGGTAAAAATTAGAGATTTGCCAGCCATGTTTCAACATTTCTGGACCGAAAAAACTGGTGGATCTCCGGGGACACGAATCTGGTGATAGGATCCGAGAAATCGGAGTCGAAGCCCAAAATGTGTGTTGGGCATTTCAATCACCAGGCTTCCTTGATGAATTCATCATCATTTGAATTCACATCATTTCGTGGGAACTTTACTTTATTAATCTTCACTATAATTTTGGTGATGACCCTAAAACCCATGTGTTTCGATGGGAATTTTCCTGGTGGATCACCTTGACCAGGCTTCGCATGTGTACTTCTGGCCACCATTTTTAAGCTGCCACTGGGCGTGCCGGTGGGCCATCGGGGCCATCGGGGCTATCGCACTCAGTGGGCCACAGCTTGGTACGACACTTCACCATGACAATCCTGAGATCTTTTTAAGGGATATCATGGAATATAGAACCAACAGTAATGTCTAATAGTGTGAACACTAGTGTTGATAATGGATGTGAATAATGAGGTCTGATGGATGTTGAATCGTGTTTGTAATGGCGTTTAGTAGTGTTTGTAATGACAACTTTCCTGAGATTTGAATGGTGTAATGGTGTTGAATGGGGTCTGTAATAGAAGATTATATAATGAACAAACTCGATATGTTTTTTTGTATCTTTTTGTATGTTTGGTAAGGGCTATAGCACCTTAAATGGCGAACATGATAAACTATCAATTAAATAGGGGTACCCTATTTCCAGACCCATTTGGTTGCCCGAATTTGGGATCACCATTGGTTTCCCGGCACAAACACTGTGAAAGATACCATGAAAAACACTTTTTTTCACATTAAACACAACACCACTAAATGTTTACTAAACATCCATTATTCACATCCGGTTTCCTGTTGGTTCTATTGTTCATCCACCGTGCCGCACCACGCTGCCTGAGGAGCGCCTCCCTGCTGCAACTTTGCCTCCCACTCGAGGCGGCGTTCGATGTGATGTGAAGCCTCAGAATGGAGGAAGACAAATCCCGACATATGATCTTTATATATACATCTTCACTGTATGTACAGACAATACATATATATATATATATTTATAGTAATGTATACATTATATATGTATATATATATATCGTCATATAGACATATACACATAAGTTAACATGATTGTTTGTGATAAGTTGACATATATCATCACTGAGAAAAAATATTCATTGGGATCTTTTTGGGTTCCAGCCAGTTGGGGATCAACCAAGAGGATGTGGAGTTTCGAAATACGGAACCCCCAAATTATCCATTTTTGTTTGGGATTTCTCATGAACTAAACATTTATAAACCATCCATTTGGAAATTTGGGGTACCCCTATTTATGGAACCCCCATCTGGTTATAGAATGGGCTAGCGCCCGGGTGCCGCCGACCCCCCTTCTGGGGGGTTGGCTCCAACTTGAGCGTTCCTTGGACTCTGCAGCCTCTTCAGCCTTGCTAATTGAGCGTCCTGCCCAGATTTAGCATTCCCCATTCCCCGGAGAAGCATCAGCAAAGCAGTACAGCGGGTAGCTGCAACGCAGGCGAAAGTCGCGAGGAAGGCAGCGGAAGAAAAAGCGGCACGCGCCCTTGCCGATGTCTGGGATGCCATCGCGAAACGAAAACGCAACAGAGAACAGGAGAGCTCCCAAATGAAGGACGCAGAGCCGAAGGCAAAACATCCCAAACAAGAGAACCGAACAGAAACGAGCAAACACGGGCCTGAAGATGTACGTGGCCAACGGGAAAACAGCGACGGAAGGCAGAGGGCGGTGCGGGCGACGACTGATGTCGCGGCTGCCAGCGTGGAACGAAAAAGGAAAACAGAACAGGACACCGCCCAAATGCAGGAAGCCCCGCCGGACGCAAAGCAACGTAGAGAAGACGGCGGAACAGAAAGAAGCACAGACAGGCAGGCAGAAATGAGCTGCAAGCAGCAGAGCAAGGGCAGTGCGACGGAGACGTCGGGGGAAGGCAAGAGTTTCCAATATGTTTGTCCCGCTTGCCAAAAGTCTGTGAGGAGCAGTATACGCACGGGCCAAGTAGATCACCGGCGCGCATGTGGTAACCGTTTCCAGGTGTGGGATGCGCAGGTCGTTGCGAAAGGATATGTGTATATTTGCCCTGCTTGCAAAGGGAATGTGTCTAGTGACGTCAAGACAGGGAAAATAGACCATCGAACGGTCTGTGGGAACCAGTTTTCAGTCAAGGACGGCGTTGTGCAGGAAAAAGCGTATGTTTACATTTGCCCCGCTTGCAAAGGGAATGTGGCCAGTGACGTCAAGACAGGGAAAATAGACCATCGAACGGTCTGTGGGAACCAGTTTTCAGTCAAGGACGGCGTTGTGCAGGAAAAAGCGTATGTTTACATTTGCCCCGCTTGCAAGGGAATGTGGCCAGTGACGTCAAGACAGGGAAAATGGACCATCGGACGGTCTGTGGGAACCAGTTTTCTGTAAAGGACGGCGTTTTGCAGGAAAAAGCGTATGTTTACATTTGCCCCGCTTGCAAAGGGAATGTGGCCAGTGATGTCAAGACAGGGCAAATAGACCATCGAACGGTCTGTGGGAACCAGTTTTCTGTGAGGGACGGCGTTGTGAAGGAGAAAGCGTATGTTTACATTTGCCCCGCTTGCAAAGGGAATGTGGCCAGTGACGTGAAGACAGGGCAAGTAGACCATCGAAGGGTTTGTGGGAAGCAGTTTTCTGTCAAGGACGGCGTTGTGAAAGAGAAAGGTGGTAAACGGCAAGCTGGAACGCCGAGAAGAAGCTATTGATCTGGCTTTGGGGTATCGTTTGAATTGTGTAAATGCTGGCAAACGGCAACCTTGGACGCCTAAGAGAATTGATGTGTGGCCTTGGGGTGGCTGTTGGCTGCAGGATGAAGCATGCCAAGTCAGCGTTTTAAGGGTTTTAAGGTTTTTAAGGGTTTGGAGGGTTTAAGGGCTGGCAAACGGCAGGCTTGGACGCCCATAAGAAGCCATTGATGTGTGGCCTTGGGGTGCCTGTTGGCTGCAGGATGAAGCATGCCAAGGGATTGTTTAAGCGGCCCATAAGAAGCCATTGATGTGTGGCCTCGGGGTGGCTGTTGGCTGCAGGATGAAGCATGCCAAGTCAGCGTTTTAAGGGTTTTAAGGTTTTTAAGGGTTTGGAGGGTTTGGAGGGTTTAAGGGCTGGCAAACGGCAGGCTTGGACGCCCATAAGAAGCCATTGATGTGTGGCCTTGGGGTGCCTGTTGGCTGCAGGATGAAGCATGCCAAGGGATTGTTTAAGCGGCCCATAAGAAGCCATTGATGTGTGGCCTCGGGGTGGCTGTTGGCTGCAGGATGAAGCATGCCAAGTCAGCGTTTTAAGGTTTTTAAGGGTTTGGAGGGTTTGGAGCGTTTGGAGGTTTGGAGGGTTTGGAGGGTTTTAAGGGTTTAAGGGCTGGCAAACGGCAGGCTTGGACGCCCATAAGAAGCCATTGATGTGTGGCCTTGGGGTGCCTGTTCGCTGCAGGATGAAGCATGCCAAGGGATTGTTTAAGCGGCCCAGAAGGAGCCATTGATGTGTGGCCTCGGGGTGGCTGTTGGCTGCAGGATGAAGCATGCCAAGTCAGCGT